ATTTGAAAACGAATTATGCTTTAATTCATTTTCAAACAATTGTAATGGCTGGCGTTAAATACTCCTGACGATTCATTTTTAAAGTGGGGCAACGCTTTTTTTTTTTTAAAAAAGAGCCAAAAACTCACTAAATACCACTATATTTCTACTTATATATCGATTCTGACTGCCTTCAAATTTCCAGCACAAAGCAGACTAGGAAAAAAAGGGACCCATATCACGTGACTCGTGTGAATTCTACGGAAATAGACGTAGCCATAAGAACAACCAATGAGATCGCAGGCGCGGATTTGAACGATGATTTCAGCCAATCGGTTTCCTCGCTGCATGTTAGCATCCATTGAGCGAGGAAGCTAACCTTCTTCAGGCTACCGCCTCGCCTTCTGGCACGTTCTGCGTTTATATTTTATATTTTGTCTCGTGTTGAGTAATAATACTCAACCTTGCGAGATTTATTACCAAGTTGTGCCAGTACGACACCATTTCGCAACGGTAAGTAAAGGGGAGAAAAAAAGCTAACGCTACTATTTGTAGCCACCTGCTAAAGCTAGTTGACCCGGGCTTGGTGTAATTACTGGTAGTAGCGATGAAAGAACAATTATGAAGAGTTTTTTTTTTTGTCAAATATAAACTCATAAGAATTTCTCCTGTCACTCGACTCAGAATGTACATAAATGCAACACTTTGTTTGTTGGAAGGGCTCTGGGGCAATATTTATGGCTCTTTTCGGACCCGTGTAACAAACCGACGAGATCCCTGTACCATCTTTACCATTTATGCTAAGTCCTTCTCCTGTGCAGCTATTGTAACACACCATCATGTCGAGACGCATGATGCTTTCCAACTCGTCCCTGTAAAAGTTGGTTAATATTCATGGAGATGGTACTGATTGTTTTTAATCTCTTTAGAAACAAGAGTGATTGTTGAGACCTGGGATCTTATGCTGTCCACACGCTTCATTAACTTTCAAATTATGTAGAGATTTTATTGGCTTTAAGAATTTAATCCCGGAGTCTTTCTAGAGTAGATTAGAATTGTTTCTTGAAACTTTCTTGTCCATTTCCTAAAATATAATCTTTTTTTCTTTTTTCCCCACTGCCATTAGACTGCTGGATGTTTTGTAAAATGAGTTATTTTATTATATTTCATCATTATATTAAAAAAGACAGAAAAAAACTGAAATGTTAGAACTGTAAATTTACAGTCATATGTTTATATTACAGTTTTTATATATATATATTTTTTTTCACTATTTTTCAAGGCTGCACTTAAAAAAATGAAATTTTTTAGAGAGCTGCTGTAAACGAAATTTCTTTTTGTGTTGCACTTGTGTAAACAAAGTGACAAATCTGTTTAAGTCTAAGTCTTTAACATTTTGATTACTATGCAAAGCTAATGAGGACCCCTAAACTGTTAATTAATGTTTTCCTTTTCCCCACCCTTTTATGAGGTGTTTAAATCTTATAATTTTAAATGGGATCTTATGAAGTCTGAAAATGTTTAGGAATTACACCGCTCACTAACCCTAACTCACTATGCAACAGTCTTGCCTTTTTTGCCTTTTGCCTGGCTTTATTTTTCGTGGGTTGCTTTAAAGTCTCAAATGCAGTGGTGTCAAAAGTACACATATTTGTTACTTAAGTATAAGTATAGATACTGCAGTTTAAAAACACTCTGGTAAAAGTTGACGTATCAACTTGACCTCTTTACTCAAGTAAAAGTGAAAAAGTATGTGCTTCAAAACGTACCGTACTTAAAGTATAAAGTAACCTTTAAAAAAAACAGCCAGATTCCACTAAATGAATTTAAAGCTAAATCTTTCGACTATTTAAAAAAAATTATTTGAAATAGGGCCGAGGATGAGGGTCTTTTTGCTCCCGCCTGTGTCCAACCTTTCAGACATTTCAACATTTTTTTCTGAATCCGACATTGTGGCATGGCATAATCTATTCACGTTTGCAGTTTGAAGAACACCTGCTTGCTTCTGATGATTTTCCTTTAGCTAACCAATTAAAACCAATTACACAATTTTTCAGTAGATGTGAATGGCGCCAATAATATGCATTGGATTGCACACATGACGCGAAATAGATATTATAAACATTAGACCAAGAGTAACGAGTAACCTTTGTTTTAAAAATCTAAGGAACAGAAAGTACTGGTACTTCTGTGAAATTTTAATGAGTAGGAGTCAGAAGTAGGAAGAAAGTAACTAATGGAGTAAAGTATAGATACCTAAAAAGTGTACTTAAGTACAGTAATGCTAACACGGTTGAAACATCTGCCACATATTCCTGGTAAACTTTAGTAATTATACTTAAAAAGATGAGCTAAAAAATAGAGAAGTGTGAATTGCTGGCATTTTAATGTGTAGCGTAATTGTTACATTCTTCTATCATACTCAGCTTTTTGCTGTGTTGTTTAGATTCACATCCAGTCCCATTACTGCATTGCATGAATGTGAACGTCTAAAGATATGGACATTGTTGATCGCAATTTTTGGAATGGATAAATTTTTTGTTCTAGTAGATGAGCTCTGCTGATGAATATCAAGTGTTGTTGACCTTAATTTTTCTGTTGCACAGATGACAGGCTCTAACGAATACAAGCTAAACCAGACACCTGAAGACGGCATCTCTGCTGTAAAGTTCAGCCCCAGTACTGCTCAGTTCCTCTTGGTTTCCTCATGGGATTGCACAGTTCGTCTGTATGATGTCGGAGGGAACACGATGAGGATGAAGTACCAGCACACAGCTCCTGTGCTTGACTGTGCTTTTTATGTAGGTTGTTTTGCCTTTGACTTGATTCAGTGAACTTATTTATAAAAGGGAGGAAAAACCACTGCAAGCGGATAATGTCTACCTTTGCTTTCAGGACTCAACACATTCTTGGAGTGGAGATTTGGAGGCTCAACTAAAGACTCACGATTTGAACACAGACCAAGGTGTGCCTTTAAATTCCCTTAAATGTTGGTTTATAAATAAACATTGGCCCATGTAAAATTCTTATGGTATAATTGCAGTAAGCAAAATTATCATTTTCAGTTTTATGATTACGGCTCTGGTTCTTGACTCCCTAAAAATAAACAAACAGAAAGTGGGGGTAAATATGAAATACGCATTGAATTGTGACCTACTCAACAACATAAACTTCATACAATTTAGAAGAATTCCAAATCAATTCTTTTTTCTCCACAAAAACAATTTATTTGGTCATTTCTTAATTGATTTTACCTCTGTGCTAATTTTTTATGTAATTGTATGTTGTTGTTTTTTCCACTGGGATGATGAATGTACTTTTATTGTATTTTTGTTTGCTTTTTGACCGCCCTTTATGTTTGAAAGGTGCTAGGTAAATAACCTCTTTCCTACTTATAGTCGTAGTTAACTTTAATTTCCACGGTTAGCTGTTTGGGGTAGAGACCGATACTTTGATCGGCCGATATTTTAAGCTGATATGGGTATTTTGTATTTTTGGTCTCACACGAAGCATTTGCATTCTCTGTAACATTTGGTATCATTATGTAATTATTATCAT